GAGAGAGAGAGAGAGAGAGAGAGAGAGAGAGAGAGAGAGAGAGAGAGAGAGGGAGAAAGTGAGAAAGCAAGCTGACAGTGCTGGGACTCAAACCATGGTCAGCCATGTGGGAGTTCAGTGTCCTTAACCACCACACCACCTACTGACCCCTCAGTGTTATTATTATTATTTTTTTCTGGAGAGGTTTTTGCAATAGGGCGTGTGCGCTCACCAGAAAGACAGAGAGAGATAGAGAGACAGAAAGCGAGAAATCACGCCCCCAGAGGGGATGGCCATGCCGCAATCCCTTCTCCTCCATTCTCCTCTTGGGATCTTGGGCACTCACACACACGTGCCCCGTATGAGTTTAAGCCACCAGGTCCGGGACTCAACCGCGGTCGACTACATGGGAGTCCAGTGAGATAGCCATTACGCTAACTGCTGGTCCCAGTGTTTTCTTTTTGATGTTATTGTAAATATAATTATTGTTTCCTTTTTTTTATTTTGCAAATGTTTGCCAGAGAGAAAGATAGAAAGCAAGAAAGTACCTCTCCCCCCTCCCTGGGGCACGGTCATGCTACAATCTTTTCTTCATTTCTCTCTCCTTTTGAGATTTTGGGCATGCTCCCACATATGACTGGCATGCTTTTCAAGCCACTGGGGGTAAGACTCAATTAGCCATGTGGGATCCAGTCGCCTTAACTACTATGCCACCTGGCTGCCCCTCCCATGCAAAACTTAATAATCTTTTTTTTTTTTTTTTTTTGGAGAGGGTTTTGCTATAGGATGCGTGCGCTCGCCAGACAGACAGACAGAAACAGAGAGACAGAAAGCGAGAAATCACCCCCCAGGGGGGATGACCACGCTGCAGTCCCTTCTCCTCCAGTCTCCTCTCGGGATCTTGGGCACGCATGCACATGCGCCCAGCATGAGTTTTAAGCCACCGGGTCCAGGACGCGAACCGCGGTCGACTACGTGAGAGTCCAGCTACATAGCCATTACGCTAACTGCTGGTCTCTCAAAACTTAATAATCTTTCTTATGTGTAAGCATGATAGTGTCATACTTATGCAAAATCACCAAAAAGTAGCTCCCTTATGCGTACAGAATGAGATACAGACTTTCTAGATTGCCATCCAATGCCATGCCATTCATTATTTGGTACCAACCTATTTATTTTTTTCCGAGAGAGTTTTTTTACTTTGTGTTTTTTTTTTTTTTTGGAGGGGAGAGGTTTTTGCTATAGGGCACGTGCGCTTGCCAGACAGAGAGAGACAGAGATCACCCCCCCAGGGGGCTGGCCACGCTGCAATCCCTTCTCCTCTCAGGATCTTGGGAACGCAGGCACTGGCGCCCGGCGTGAGTTTAAGCCACTGGGTCAGGGACTTGAACCGCGGTCAACTACATGGGAGTCCAGTCACATAGCCATTACGCTAACTGCTGGTCCCCCAACCTATTTATTTTTTTATAGACAGACTTGAGGCTTATTTTTTTAAAAGAATGGTTTATTTAATTCCATTTGTTATTGTTATTATTTATCTATTTGACCAGAGAAAGAGAGAAAGGGAAAGTAAGAGAGCAGGTCCACGACTCCAACTGAGATTGTCCGTGTGGGATATCCAGTGCCCCTAACCACCACGCCACCTGCCGGCCCTGAGCTTTCATATTTGTTATTCAGTTAGGTATACTGATTTCCTCGTTGCCTAATTTATTCATTGTTTGTTTGCACTTTATTATTTTAAAAAATGTTATTATTTACTAGGACCAGCAGAGGGCATAATGGCTGTGTCGCTGGACTCCTATGTAGCCGACAGTGGTTTGAGTCCTGGATCCGGTGACCGGGCGTGTGCGTGCGTGCCCAAGATCCCAAGAGGAGAATGGAGGAGAAGGGATTGCGATGTGGCCATCCCCCCTGGGGGGTGATTATCTACTTTCTGTCTCTCTGTCTGTCTCTTTCTGGCAAGCACACGTGCCCTATAGCAAAAGCCTCTCAAAATAACGATTTACTTTTGCAATTTTTCCTATAGAGTATGTGCTTTCTCTGGAAAGACACACACACAGAGAGAGAGAGAGAGAGAGAGAGGATTCCCCAGGGGCATGGCCACTTTCAATCCCTTCAATCAGGGCTTTGGCCACACACCCACACTCACTTGCCTGGCATGCATTTCAGGCCTGTGGTCGGGATTCAAACTGTGCTGTTCGCCACGTGGGATCCAGCCGCTGTAACCACTGCACCATCTGTCCCCCTCTTCTTTTTATTTCACATGACACCACACAATTTATGTCTGTTAGCGTCAGGCTTACCCAGTACTAGGTCCTGGGAACCCACAGGGACGGTAAACAGAAAAGGGCCTTGCCCAAGCAAAGCAACTATCATGGAGAGTCACTCCTGCCTGCTCAGTCTCCACTCGACCTTGCACCAAGGCTTTGGCACTGTGCACGCCTGACCAGGCTCTTCCAACACAGCCCGTTCCAATCTGCGCTGGGACTACCGGGAAGAGGAGGGCTACAGGAGAAGCAGATAACAGTGTGGGAAGGGGGCGTTGAGGCACGAAAACTGGAGCCTCCCTTCCCTGGCCAGTTACAGCAGGGCCCAATTCTACATCCCGCGGTTAAACGGGTCTGAAAAGCGCCAGGACTGTGCCTGGCGCAGAAAACTGGTCAGGCTAGGTGACAGCAAGTTAATTTCACTTAGGAAGGCCGGCCATTACAAAACCATTACTGCCTCTCGCCTTCTCTTCCCGCAGGCCAGGCCTCGGCTTTCGATGGTGACCCAGGTTCGCTCGCTGTCTTCGGGCATAGGCCAGACTGGCCTCGTCTGCAGCCGCCCTCGCTCCCTGGGGCGGATCCGCCTCCTCGCAGTCGCAGTTCCCGCCTAGCTGCTCAGGCGCCCGCTGAGCGGAGGGAGGAGGGGCGTCTCGCTGGTTCCAGCCTCTTCTGTCGGGAACTCCAGGACCCGCCCCCCGCGCCAGTTGCCAGGGAGCGGTTGCCATAGAGCTGAGCAGTTGTCCGCGTGCGCAGGCGGAAGTCCCGGATTGAGGCGCCGCCATTTTTGCTGCCCGGACGCGGAGCGAGAGCCTGAGAGAGAGTCGGAGACGCTATCCGCTTCCATCCGTCGCGCAGGAGCCGCTGCCGCTATGGATGATCGGGAGGATCTGGTGTACCAGGCGAAGCTGGCCGAGCAGGCTGAGCGATACGACGGTGAGTTGGGGGGGCAATAGGGGGCTGGAATTCTCGGACCCTCTGCCGCCGCCCACAGAGGCCGGGAACAGGAGACAAAATGGCGGCATCGTCTCCAAGCCTGGCCCGGGGACGTAGATTTGGAAAGCAGGAAATGGCCTGTGTACTCCCGGAGAGGTGGGAGCCTCCAGGCCCAGGAACTTGACCCCTTCGGCGTCCTTAGCTGCAGACACTCGCACTCTGGGATGCCTGGGCGATAGGGTGGAGGAGTTGGTTGTAAAATGGCGGCTGGGGGGGGAGAGGGCGAGTCCCTGGGCGGGGGAGGGGGAGGAGATGGCGGGAGCTGTCTCCG